GATAATAATAATGTCGCCAAGTACGAAGGCAATTACAAAGAGGCCATAATCACGAGGCCTTAAGTGAAAATAATGCAATTCACATGCGACAAGGACTGTAAACTGTATATCGACTTGTACTTGGTACGACTGTGATCATACCTGACCTAGCCGGCCCGATGATATCACGGACTGTACCTTTCTATGCGCGGCAATCCGCAGCAGCAAATCTGGTCAGTTCAATCTATTCTCTTTGCTAGCAATGGAGATTGAATACGGAAGGCCCAAGAACCACTTAAATGGCTCGGCGAACTGTCCCGAGTCAGGTTTTGAGTTGAGCCCCACTTCAACACCTCCAAGTATGTAACGGTGCCTGACCGAGGGCAACAACCCTGAGCTCGGGAAGTGCGGGACGAAGAACGTGCCAAAACCACTTCGGTCCGTTTTTCTTAGATGGCCTGGGATATACTTTCGATTTTTTCGCACTGAATGCGAACTGCCTTATTTGGGATGAAGTCGATGTAATTCACTCGAAGGATAGACCTCAGTGGTGACCAAATTTGCCCAGATTTTGCTCATGTTTGACGTACACAACCATAGAGATAGACTGACTAGACAGATGGATGGTACATGCGAGATATCGCACTGGGTTCACATGCAATTTTCAAGGGTTGAGAAAACCCGGCGAACAGCATAAATTCGGGAGACGATGTCGTCGTTAATCTGTCTATTTGAAAGCAGTCTCGTCCTGACTTCGACAAAGTTGACTGTTAAGTACAGGTAGAACATTGCGCACCGAGTCACGCACTCCACAATGGACCAAGTGGAGCGATGTTGGAGAAAGGACTTATTCGCACCTGGTGCAGCTGTGATTATGCCTGATCTACTCGGTCTCCGTGTCGTCGCGATTTGCATGTACGTACGCGTGAAGACCCGTGGCAGTAATTCGGAAGGTCTCGACATATTTCACATCGTACAAACCGTGTAGGGCTCTTTCGAGGATTCGGTCATGGGATACTGCACAAAATGGGTGACAGGATACAAACTTATCGAAGGGAAGATTGAGTATCGAACGGTTGAGAGGGGTGATTTAAGAAGGGCTCCCAGCCGTGAATGGCTCCGTCGCTCTGATGTGGCACTACTTACACGACACGCAGTATCGCTCATAATTCTGCATTAAGTCCGGCGGATTTTATCAGAACTTTCCTAAAATCCGATCAACAACTTTAAATAACTGTCTTCGAAGATAGGTGGACCGAATTTAGACTAAATATTCCCCGTGGATGAGGAGGAGGGGAGTTAGGCCTTAGAAAAACCCATTGATAAATCAGCTGATGGCGCCTAGTCAGAATAAAGAAGACATTTTTCACAGCAATATCCAACGCAGTTATAGATCAGAATGTGGAGTAAGGTGGCTCTATGTGCCGCACTTCCTCTGATCATCAAGAACAATGAGGGGAGAGGTATGCCTTAAAACAACCCGTTGATAAATTAGTTGGTGGCACCTAGCCAGAATAAAAAAGAGGGTAACAAAATGCACAAAATATTAATAAAATTGTGCGGGTAACTGAGATAGTCCGCAAAGAAACCCCCACAGACACAGAAGATCGGAGGTGCGCATGCTATTAGTGTAAACCCAAAGAAGTTCTGCGTAATTTTGCAAATGCAAGAAAATTTCGAAAAGGTTTCTAAACAACTTGATGGAAAAGTATGTGGAGAGCAGCGCTCAATATGCAACAGAAAACAGTCT